AGAAATCTTTTGGCATATAAAGATTCTACCAATTCTGCATGAACTGGAAGAAGGTGGGTAACATTGCTCTTGAAAGGGTGTTTTTTCTGTACTGTTTTCTGCAGGAAACATGGGACTCATTTGTGTTTACTACAGAAGATTTACAGTGGTTGGAATATGTAGCTTTTTATGCTTTCATATGTTTAGTGACTTAGCAGTATGAAACTGGGCTGGGCAACTGTTACTGCTTGAGCAGGAGTGTTGGACCAGCTGCCATCAGAGGTCTTGACCATTCTGTTATTCTGTAACACAAACAAACAAACAAAAACCCCCAAAACAAACAAAAACAAAAACAAACAAAAAACCAAACCAAAACAAAAAACTACAACAAAAACCACAGAACACCTGGTTTAGAGAAGATCTGGTCTGCTTAAATTACCTTGTTTTAGACAACATAGCTGTACCAGCACAGCAGTCAGTGATGAGGTAATAATTTTAAGAATGAAGTAAAGCACAGATTCACTGTTTTATGCATAGACAGCATTGAAGGTTTCAGTTAATTTTAGAAAACAAAGGAAATCCTAATGAAAATTTCTGTTAGTGCCTAAAGTGTTCCATGTCTCAGAAAAGTATGTAATGATGCAGAATACTGAAGCCGAATTAAGTCAAGTATGGCTTGAAAGATTGAACTCTGAAATCCTTTTTAACATTTCATTCAAAAGATTGTTTAGTTGTCTTCTATAGACATTATATTTATTTGAATGATGGAAAGTAGAATTGGGTTTACAAGTGGTTAAAAGTGAGTGTCAAATTAGAGGATTGGTTCTGTTTTTACAGGCTCTTATGCAATGTTCATTATAGCATGGTACAGATTAGGTTTTTTGCATAATTTTGCAGATGTGGATGAGTGTGAAACACCTGACAGTACTGAGTGATTCCCAAAATATATCATTAATTTAAAAAGACAGGATTCTCATTCCCACATCTGCCACTGATGTGTAGAAAAACAGTGATCAGGAAATTTGCAAATTGCTATGCAACTTCAAATTTTCTTGCTTAATGCTGAGATTGTCAGATACGAACAGCTGGGTTAAAGTTTTGCATAGTGAGATGTTCTTTATAGGTAAGCGAAATATTATTTAGAGGTAAAATCTAATAATGTTTTTCCCTTGTCAGGAATGTAACTAAGGAAAATCCATTTTTCATGCCGCTTTTCCTCAATCTTGATTTGATTAGTGTGCTGGGGTTTTTTTGTTTGTTTTTTAAAGCTTGATTACGACTTAGTTTTTCTAATAACAGAAGAGATTGTCTAATGGTACTTTCTCACCAGTTGATTGTAGTACTGCAAAAACCTTACGAGTTTTGCTGCTTCTTGAATCTTTACACAGATTGTAACCGAGTTGCATCATTGCCTCCTGCAGCTGTGTGTTATATTGCTTTATTTAGGCTGTTTGCTGCACAATTGCAGTTTTTCCTATTAAAATGAATGTTAGAATTCCATAATTATAATGTTTTGACTGGGTCTGTTGATAACTCAGTAGTTTTTAATTTTGTGTGCAGTCACTTGCTTCATACCTTTTAGCTAATTCCCTGCACGTGCATTTAGGTCAGATTTAATTTTTATATAGTAATAGAAAACCTTTTTTCTTCTCCTTTCTCTCTCTAAAAATATTTGTAGAAAACGTTTAATTCAAAAACAAATCTGGAACTTAATTATTGTCTACAATTTTATGACTGTAATTTGTTTGAGATGATTGTTACATGAGAAAAACAAATGGAACCCCGAAGTCTCTTTTTTTAGAGGAGCATATACTTAATTTTGTTATATTCTAGTACTCAAGGGAAGATAAGCTTCCAAAATGCCCTATGGGATAAGTGATGAATGATTTTGTTGTTGTTAATTTTGATGAAATGGAGTGGAGACCTTTCAGTATTGGTTCCTTGCCACTTCTGTTTCACTGCTTCCTGGAGCAGAGGGTTTAGAATCACACTAAATTTTGTTAAATTTTCTGTCGTGATGGGAGTAGAAATGGAGCAGTCATTGCTGTTCCTGGAGTATGACCATTGCAAATGAAGAGCTTCTAGGTACTGCTCAGCATAAAGGGTGGTCCATGAATGTACTTAAAGGTTTGAGGCCTTGGATATAATGTTTCTTGTCATAATTTCCTGCCCTTATAGATTACATCACAAGTGCTTTGCTTCCTTGAATGTGATTTTATTTTAGCTGCGAGGTACCTGCAGAATTCATATAGTCAGTGTAAGTGGGTTTATATGATGCTTTATGAGTGTCACCCTATAGACAAAAGCAAACGTAAGAAAAGGAGAAAAAAACCCTCGCTCTTGAGGCAAGACTTCTCCTTTTCCCTCTTAAGTAAACATGTACATGGTTCCACTGTGTTGAGGTGCAGACTTTGTAATAGTGTACTGCAGGTTTTATTTCTGTATTTTTAAAATTATGCCTGAGGGACTCAGGTTAGGAGGTAGATGACCTTTTTGTCAATAGGCCATCAGTTCACTCAGGTATATCTTGTACCTCTACTGTGGATTGTAGAGTTCTGATGAGTTTTTTACATTCACTTGTTCTTTATCCCACAAACAGCAAGGTTTGATATATTAGGTTATGTATATGGGCAGAAAAATATTCCTTAACTGTCTCTTTTTTCACGTATAATGTTTGATGGAGCTATTTAAAGAATATATTCACAGTTTCTTGGTAGACATTTGGTCAATCTGATTATTAAGCATTAAAGGTGAGTTTAATTTTAGCTTTAGGTATTATTTTGGCTCTGATTGATTGGATTCCGTCTCTTGTTTTTGAAAGAGCAGCGTAAAAGTGTTTCTGAGGATTGCGTTGTCATTTTAAGAGATTTATTGTGTGCCTTTTTTTGTTGTTGTGCAGCCCATTCTTTATTTTGTTCTCCTGTGTCTTTGAGATGCTCTGGAAAAGGTGACACTGATAATTATTTTTTCTTTTCTCTCCCTTCCTACTCCCCTCAAGTAGAAGACAATACAGACAATCTTTGTCTGGCTTGCACCAAGCTCTATCAAGTCTTGAATGAAGGAAATATGCTTGGGAAAAGATTTAAAAGAAGAAGTGTGCTTCTGAAGACATTATATAAACTTGTAGACGTTGGTTCAGATCCACTTTGCCTGAAGCTGGCAAAGATTATTCTGGCTGTAAGTGTTTGCAAATGCTGTTTGGTAGAATGTGAAGCTTAAAATCATGAATTAGAACTTGCATTTATTTTTTTATTTCATACTTTTAAACTATATCTAAACTAACCCTTTCCTAAGCACAGTTTCTTGCCATACAGATATTAGTCTCCATTCATCCAGACTGGCAGTTGTTGGAGCCTAATTTTTGCAGAAAAATTACATCTGTGGGAGGAAAGAGGCACATAAGATAGGATAGCTCATGTATGGTGGCAGGAATATTGCTCAGGTGTGGAAAAGAGAGAGTGTCCTAAGCTGGGGTGGACATGCCAGGGATTTAAACAAGCCAATAATTTAAAAAAAAAATACACCTGGAAATTAAGCTTAGTTTTTGAATAATATCTTGACGTTATTAAACACCTTTATCTGAAAATACCAGAACAGTTGGGTTTTTTGTTGGTGTTTTTTTTTTGAAAGTAGGTAAGTGTAATTAGGCCTTTCTCTAGTATCTCCTGCTAAAACTCGCAATTAAGTTGGTGCTCTTGAACCTATTGGTTCAGTCACTGGCGAGAGGATACCAGCTAGCATTGTGTTGTAGATGTTGTAGTAATTAGTCTGTGTGTGTATGTTGGAGTGAGGGTTCTCCTTTAAGGTAGAGTGAGTTATTGTAGTCAGGAGATGTATATTCAGATACCACATAGATGTTAAGTGGCGCTTATAAAAGAAAAAAGTTCAGCTAGGGACATTTTTCTGTAAAATATGTTTAAAATCATGAACAAGAGAAGAAATAGCCCTTGAAATCCAGAGGAACTGAAGAGATTTGCCATTGTATTTTCAACACTTTTACTTCCTTTTCGTGATCTCTCAGTGACCATTAGCACATCATAAGGTCTCTTTTTCTGGTATTTGAGGATGACTTTCATTATGACATGTATTGTTGTACCAGAGTTTTTTGTGGCATGGCCATAGATGCCAAACCAGTGAATCCTGCGCAGAACTTCTCTGTAAAAGTGAATAGAGGAAAAAAAAAAGGTGCAAGTTGTTGACATACTATCTGCAGATAATACATCAAAAGTTTATGTATCATCTGTTATTTTCAAGTTAGTCAGCACAGTTTCCTGCATAGAGTTTAAACTTGCTAGGTTTCAGAGTCCTTTAATTCTGGAAACTTTCCAGTTTAGCTCAGTGTACTGTCAGGGTTTCTGTTGGAATTTAATAGTTCTGTGAGAATACAAGTTTGCCATAGTGTCTGAACTTGGCACACAACATGGTGCATTTTTGTATGTACATTTTATTTGTGATTTTTATGCCTTTTACTTTCTTCGCAGATGAAAGTGGATGGAAAAAATCTTCTTGCCGTTTGCAAGCTTGCATTTAAAATCTGCAGGAATGAAAAAAATGATTGCATCATTCAAAATGATAGATTATTGGGTATGTATTCTGTTCTTGTATATAAGGTAGATGTTGAATTCAATAGTTAGATGGATCATCCTTAAAGGCATATTTTCAGACTTAGACACGCACTAAAAATTACCTACTGGATCAAACTAATGGTCCATCTAGTCCAGTATGCTGTGTCTAACGATGGAGATAGGGGATGCTGTTTAGGGACAGCATGGAAGCCTTTGTGTTTTGTGATCCGTTTCCCCTGTACTACCCCAGCATCCAGAATTGTTACATTCTATTAGGGACATTAGATGGTGCATCTCTGCCTAATCCTTTTAAGTCTCTGTTTATAGATCTTTTGTTCATTGATTTGCCCAACTCCTTTTTGAACTTTCCGATTCTGTCTGCTTCTACAATCTCATAGAGCAACAAGTTTCAGAATTTCTGTCTGTTACACCTGTCTACTTTTTATCACGCTCCTGCTTGCAGTTTTGCAGGATTTGTGAGAATTTCTACGATCAGCTTACCCTCCACCTTCATGATTTTTTAAACTGCAGTCATATCATGTATTTCTGTCTTCTCTTCAGACCGAGGTAGCTCAGGCTTTTAGCTCCCTCTTTGAAAGGATATTGTGTCATTCTCTCAGTAGTTTTAGCAGCCTTTGTAACTTCTCCAGCTCTGGTAGATTCTTCTTGAGATGTACAGAACAAAACTGTCTATAGAGGTCAAGATGTGTCTGCACCAAATTTTACAGAAGTAAAATAATGCTGTCTGTGTTGTTGGCCATCGTCAGAAAGGATATTGAGAACAATCTTTGGCTTTTTTATCTGCTGCTGCACGTTGAGCCAGTGATTTTTGAGAATTGTCAGCAATGGCTCCAAGATCACTTTTGTGATTGTAACTGTATTTGTGTCATCGTTGCAAATTTGAGAAATATGATTTAAAAATGACAGCATATGAATAGTAGTATTGATTGATGGTCATTCCTTTCGTGACTACTTTGTCACGTTTTATTACCATAGGCTTTGACCTTTCAAGCATTTATTGCATGTGCATAAGTTAAAGCATATGTGTATATCTGCTTAAATACATTAAAATATTCATGATCTTAAAGTTTAGTATGTGAGTGTTGTCAGAAATAAAGACCAGATAAACCTTTCCAGTAGTAAGGTCAACAGGAAAGGACTCGGACAAAAGAGAACAGCACAGATTGCTCAACTGACTTTGCATACTGAAAACTGCAGTTTTGCAGAGATCAGCATCACACAAAAATCTGGACAAATTGAGTGGCTATGTCTGTGCAAGCACTGGGTTTTTTGCTCACATTTCTGTCTTTGCTCACTTTTATTTCACTTGATCTTCTTTTCCTGTATTTTAAAAACTAGTGAAGGAATGAAGGCTTTTGGTAGGGTTGATGTGGGTTTTTTTATTCACTAGCTCTTTGGTTTAGACCCACTTTATCCTGGCTGAAGACATGAACCTGAGTTATCATCATGATTACTCAGATTCCTGTTGCAGTCTCTGGGTTACAGATTCTTTTTTTAACTTCCTTTGGCCCTATGAACTGTTTATCTGCAGTGGAGCAGCTTCAATAGTAGAAGTAAATCACCTGCTCATCCGTAATCAAGTACTGTTCAAGACCCTGTTTGATGCTGAGCAGAGCAAGGACCTGAAACTGATTTCTCTCATTGCCACAACTGAAGTGATTTAGCTGCCCGCTAGGCAGTTGGTGAGGGTGAGAGTTTGGGCAAGAGCCTGAACGGTGTATGTACTTCATCTGTATACACCCTTATACTTGGTGAGAGTTTCAGCTTGAGTTGAGACAGAAAAAACTTTAGGTATCTCTTAAGTTTAATGAGAGGAGAAAATGTTTTTATTCAGCTGCATGGAACACAGGCAGCAGAAGTAAATAGCAGTTTCAGTCAGCTACTAGAAATTCAAAAGTATCAAATTGTTTAGGATTACTTATTTGTTTGCTAACACCCACGAAATTCAGAATGTCCCAGTTTGACTGCAAAAGATACCTTAGGCTTGTGCTGTTAATTGTAACATTTCAGGTATCTGACAGTGGCAGCATAAAGCAAAACTTTTACACTAACTTTACCTACATAAGAAGTAAACCTAAAAAGGTTACAAACAGATCTCAAATGTGAGATTTGAATTAGGCACTTGTGCTTTTTAGTGCTCCATTTGAGATGTTTTAAGACATTTGTTTTTTAAGGAAGTTTTGGGAATAAACCTCTTCAGAATGTCTCAAGTTTAGTACACGACATTCCAGGCACTCACAATCACTTTTGCAAATCTTGGCTGAGGTTTTCAGTTATTACTGCTATGTGTTTACAACTGCTGCTGGCTCTTAAAGCCTGGGAGAACAGAAGTCAGGCCCATTCTCTTACTCATCAATAATTGTTTCTTGGTCTCAAGCCAAATACCCAATTTTTCTAGCCCATTTATTAGAAATGTATTATAAGGAGTTCAGTCTGTGTTCTGCGTTTTGTTGTTTGTTTGGTTGGGGTTTTTTCAGTTGTTAATCTCTTCAATGACTGGACTGTATCAAACGTAAGTGTTAATATTAGACTTTCTGAATAATGATTTTCTTTTTAGATTGTTTGTTGGAGGTCCTGAGAACTGAAGATCTACAAAAAAACAATGAAGCTGTCTTGTATTGCATGGGAGCTATAAAACTCATGTCTGGAAATGCAGTACTCCTTAATGAAATGGTCAACAAAGGAGCTATTGAAATGTTGTTGCAATTAATGAAGCAGATTAATAATATAAAAGAAAATGACACATATTTCTCCAACTTGGGCCACCTATTAGTCCAGGTTAGCATTACTTTTATTTTCTAAAAGTACACACTTCGAGGACAAATTAAAAATCTAATTAGACGAGATAAACTAACCCCATGTGCAGTGACGGAGTTACACCTGTATTTGAACAGACTTCTTTTTAGGAAGTTTACATGAAGTTGTTCGGGGCCTTAATTTAATTATCACAGATATTTTTGTGTAAAGGCTGTAGAAATTCTTAAGTTAATAATAAATAATTTTTGGTACCTAATAAAACTAGTTTCTTATTATAACTTTATGGTGCTTATAATGTTCTGGATGTTATAGTAAACAGATAAAAATGTGTTCCCTGCCTCAATTCTTTAAGATGAAATAATAAATACAAGCCAGTTCCGCTATGCTTTTTAAAAAATGCATGAGAAATCTAGCTATGTTTCTTTGACAAAGTGCTTTTGAAGAACTATAGTTTAAGGAAAGAGTAGTTGTAAAAGCCAACACTTTTTGAAGATTTCTGAAGGCAGCAGGCTCAAAACTATCTTTTTACATATGAGGTACCTTGATGAGTGATGGCTATGAAAATGAATCCTTTTCGCTAGAGCTGCTTAAACCTTAGTGTTTTAGAAAAAAATGGTTACGTAGCTAAATCTTAAATTATGCATGGGTTGTGAGTTTTTTGTATTTGTCAAGGATTTGCCAGGTAGATCTCTGGCACTTGTCTTGGAAATTATTGATATAAAGATTAGCTTTTGGGACTACATAGGACAATGAATTGGACAATTTTCTGAGGTGGCATTTACCCTGAATTTCTCTATGAACTATGCCGGATTTCTTTAATTCTCCACTAATTTACAAACAAGGGATTTGATACTACTTGAAACTGTATGAGAATACAGATAGATTACATCATCACATTACTATTACTGATTTCTGTCTGTTTATTTTAGTAGGTTTAAGAGGTGTGCCTCTCCAGAATAGTGTATGGAATCTCAACCCAAACATAGACAGACTGGGAGATGCTACAAAGCATGATGTGGATTAATGCTTACATTTGGCTTAGGAAGTCCCAAAGTGGCAAATTGCTGAAGACTGAGCGAATATATGATGAAACAGGAAATTTTGTGCTTGCCGTGTTAATATTTTCTTTCCTATCTGGTCCTGTCATCATTAAGCTCCTAATACGAATCACAAAATTCTCTTTCATATTGTTTTATCTTTAGAACTGCGAATGTCCAAACAATCCTAGAACAATCTGTGCCATTTTGTTGATATCGTTCCTTATATTCTATACAAAAATTGTATATGGAATTTCCAAGCCTTCTTTTTCAAGAGAAGGCATACAAACTTCAGGTTTGCAGGTAATCAAGATTGTAATGACCATATTTTTCTTGAATGCTGCTAGTTAGACTTTGTAAGTCCTGATACTACTGCAGTGCTGCCTTTGGCTGTCAGTTTAGTTAGAAACCCCCTTTTGAAAAGTATTGAGAAGGGATTGAGGGTCCAGAATACATCCTGTTCTCAGAGTAATTTGCAAGGTGATAGACAGTGACTTAAAACACACAAACTGTAAGAAAAATAAGCTTAGATGAAGAAGTAGAATATAATGCCTCACATACAGAAGCTGTGCAGTCATTTCAGTGAGTGGACATCTAGGTTGTAGTTTTGTATCGGCATTTTAAAACCTAAATTAGAGATATGTATCCTGTATCTCTTTTCCTGTCTTTATAATTGAAATAATATTTATCCCTTTGAGAGCAGGGAGGGTGTGGTTAAAAGCAAAGCATATTACTTACTGACCTTTACGGGCTTCTATTGGCATTAATCATATAATACATACAATGAGAGTCCTGGTGGATAGAAGAAGATGGAAATTTATGTTAAATAGATGTAAAAAGACATTTTTTGCCAGTTGGGACATTTAAAAATAACGAATTATGTCCAAGTAATAAAACTAATGAATCAGATTATTTTCAGCTGTTTGACTGGCCGTCCAAACTTCCCCACAACATTGCAGAAATTTTTCTTCTTCCATTATTTGTATGTAGATAAATTTAGGTTTTTTAAATCAAGGGTTTAATCTGCAAATGTGTGAAAGGGAAATCTTACATTTTACATTTTTGGGGGGGTCATTTTTATCTCTGTTGTTTTCAGTGTGTTTGGAAGTGTAGCAAAACTATTTTGTACAGTTTGAACAGACTGGCTGTTTCTATGAAGGCCTTGAGTGGAAAAGTCAGCACTGACAACTGTCTCTTCTTGAGGTTGCTGTTTCACCTGTTTGTGTTCTCTTCTATAAGTAGTACAGGTGCTTCATTTTATTTCCTCTTGTGAGAAAAGTAGTGATTCCTGCT